TTTTAATATGATGGCACTACCATTTACCTAAGCGGCAGTGTCGACATCAGACTATGAGTTCCTTCCTTCCCACCTCCCTTCTTCTACCCTTGGCCTGTGGTCTTCCCTGATGCTCTTCGTGAGAGAACCTACTATGAGGAACTGAGGTCAGTGGTGAGCTGGGGCCTCATCTCACACTGGAGAACAGCACCAGACAGGGGGTCCCTAGGGAGCGCCCCCCCCCAACTATGGTTATGGAGTCCCCTCAAAGCACTGTGGGCACCTGCCTGTCCAGATCTCAGTGTCTTCCTCTATGCCTATGCCTACCTTAGCAGGCTTGAAGTACTTTTCTCCCATTTCTCCTGGTTGAACACTCACCTCTCTTGGAGCAAGTCTGTGGCCTGGTGGGGCCAGGAAGGGACACAGAACTCAAGCCCTTTTACTTCCTCAACCAGATCACATCCTTATGTAGTTTTGATCTGCTGTGCTCACCCAGGGAGCCCTCAGCTGAAGGATTTCTTTTAGCAGCCTCTTCTCTGTTGGAAGTGAGGGGGCTGCAGATTCCAGGGAAGGAGTGGGCCTCACTGTATGATAAACCTTTCACCTCTGTGTTTCTTAACCAGGGACGAGTTTACCCCCACGGCCCTCCAGCAGGGGCATTTGATCTCACAATTTGGGATGGTAGTGGTAGCTACTGCCATCTAGTGGGTAAAGACCAGGGGCACTGCTAAACATTATACCATGCACAGGATTGCCTTCCCACACTGTACCCCCACATCAAAGAAATAGCTGGCCCCAAATGATAATAAAGCTATGGTTGAGAAACCTTGCTCTGCTCCCTACACTGCTGGTGAGAATGCAAACTGGTCCAACCACTATGGAAAATCATTTGGATGTTTCTCAAACTGCTAAAAATGGAGCTTCCCTATGATCCAGTAATTCTACTCCTAGGAATCTACCCAAAGACACAAAAACATTAATTCAAAAGCACACATACACCCATATATTTATTGCAGCACAATTTACAATAGGTAAGCTATAGAAGAAACACAAATGCCCCAAATATAGATGACTGGATCAAGAAGCTATGGTATCTTTACAAAATGGGATATTATTCAGCAATCAAAAGGGATAAACTCATGCCATTTGCAGTAATACTGATGGAGCTGGAAGGGATTATGCTTAGTAAAACAAGCTAGAAAGAAAAGAAAAATATCGAATGGTCTCATAAGAGGAATGTAGGAAAACTAACTAAGGAATCAGAAAAAAAAGTAACTATAATAAATTAAAAATCAAAATTATCAGAGACATTCTATAGAGGATGAGGAGGAAGAAGGATCAGGACAGGAGTGGGACAAGCACATATGGTGATGGTGTATAGGTGAATTGGTGGTGGGAATTTCATGGGGAAATCATATTTTATAAAAATGAAAGATGATATAATGATTTATTAAAAAATAAATAAATAGGGCCCTGCCTGGTGGCGCAGCGGGTTAAGGCACTGCACTAAGAAGCTTAAGCCGCTTCCGCATGAGTTCGATCCCCGCCTGCCCCGGAGGTGACCACATGGCGTGGCAGACCTCTCCTGACCCGCCTGCTGCTCCCCTCAGCAGTGTACTTCGTCGATCTGCCTGTTCTGCTCCCCACTCTGTCTCTGGTGAATCCTGTCACCCTCCGCATCTCTGGCCTGTACCCCAGTTATGTATGAATAAATAAATAAATCTTAAAAAAAATAAATACGTATCTCTTGGTGGATCCCCTTTGCCACCTATTTCATGCAACATCTCTGTGCTCACTGCCCCTAGGGATGTTGAATAACTGCTGCGTAGATCAATAATGAGGCAATTAGAGTGTGGTCCATCCAAAGACAAGGACTAAGGAAGAAAGCCGTGTGAACCAGTATGTCTGCAATGCACCTTAAATCGCTTTGGAACCTGTCTACTCACTCTCCTATCTTAGCTGAAGGACAACCCCTCCTGAGTGGTCTCCCTGCACCTACTCTTGCCACAGAGACTGTTTTCTAAATAGGAGCCAGAGTTTGGTTTCCAAAATATAAATCACTCCCCTCGTGATAGAATCCATGTTACCTCAGCATGACAGCAGGCCCCTGCCTACTTTTTGAGCCTCATCTCACATTGCAGCTGATGACTCTGCCATGGTAAACTATTTTAGTAGTTTCTCAAGGAGAATCTCTCTCTGTCTCCTTTATCTTGATAACTTACTTAAACATTTGCTTTGGATACCACCTATAGGAGAAGCTGTCCCCCACTCATCCCAGCCTGGGTGGATTGTCCCTGCTCAATGTACCATATTACCTGTACTCCTTAGCACCCATCAAATATACCTGGCCATTTCCTTCACTGGACAGTGAGCTCTTTGGAAGAAGGGACTGTTTCTATTATGTTCACTGTTCTATCCTCAGTGGGTAGCTGAGTGTCACATCCTAACTACGTGAATGAATGGGTGGGTAGGTAGGTGGATGGATGGGTTGTTGGACCAGTAATATATTTGTCTCTGCTTGCTCTCTAGCCATATCTGCCCCAAGAGCTGTAGGTCATTTGGATTGCAAGATATTGAGAATTGGGTCCCTCGTCCCTGCTGTAAGTTTAGGTCAGTTTTATCAATTTCTAATAGAAACTTCCATTTTGTACCGAGCCATCTGCAGTTGTACAGATCAAGAGTCTGGCAAAAAGACAGCAGTCAGTTCCTTTGGGAGCACCTATAAGAGCAAAGGAGTCGTTCCCTGGGAAAATGGAGTGGTCATCCCAGCTGGGTACCCTTACATGTTGAGCCTCTGTTTCTCTCGTCCTGACTCTAGAATTCTGCTGGGTGACGGGATTGGTGTGGTTATCACAAATCCCTGGCTTGGCCCTGTTTCCTGAGCTTCCACCAAATCCAATGTTGCACAGATACAAGAGTCAGTAGAAGGTCCCTTGGCATATTTAATCCTATGCTCTGTGGGGCTATTTAGTTAGGGGTATGTGCCAATGAGTGTCCAGAAAGGTCATCAAAATCTACTGAGAAAGCACAAATAGTCCAAACAATGTTCCAATAAATTCCATTTTTTTTTCCAAATGAAAAAAAGCCAAGTGATTTCTGGGAGCAGGACTGTGCTTTCAAACAGAAAGGACTAATAAAGGAACTTCTTTTGGCAAGAATAGGCATAAATTGTAACTACTTCTTGAAGAGGTGAAGAATCTCCTTTGCATTGCAGTGACAGTGATCCAGGATTCTAGGTCTGAGCTACATTCCTGCCTCTGTTCTTCATACAAGACCATTACCACAACACAGCCATCACAGCACATCCTGATCAGACAGCCCTTCTGAAGTCCTTAGCCCCTTCACTGTCACTGTCCATTTAGGAAACATTTATAGAAAATGAGTCTGACAACTGCCTCTGGGACACCTGATTCTAATTTGAAGTTTGTTGCCATGTATCCACAGAGGGCTTGGGACTACCTCCAGGTTTTCTCGAAGGCATCTCAAAAACAACTGGGAACCCTCAGTCCTTTACACTCTGACACCTAATAATTACAGCAATATTTAACATTTATTGAGTGGTTATTATATGCCAATCAGTTCTTTGGGTTAATAGATTATCTCATTTATTTCCTTGAATAACTACATGGAAAAGGTAATATTCTCATGTTACAGACCAGGAGATTGAGAGGCTAGAGACTAAGGTCCACATCAGTAATGCTGAGGCTGGGAACTAAACTGAAATCTGTCTGATGTGAATCTACACTTAATCACTACTCTGCTTCCTACAGCCAATCTGTAAGCTCACCATCGATGTCTAGATTGCCCAATTTTTATCCCCAGAAAATGTTCTCTTTGGAATAAGAACTGGCAGGCAGGAAATCACAGGACCTGGCTCCCATCAGAGATGAAAGAATATATCCCTTGTAAGGTCCACAGGAACTTACACTTGCTTTTACCTCCAATTATTTCTCCATTCCCTAGTTCAGAGCCAGGCACATAATAATTGCTCAATAAATATTTATGGAGGGGATGAATGGACTTGCTCCCTGTAAAGCTGTGAGATGACCTCTCTATTTCCAACAAGAAGACAGGAGGTAGGGAGAATCTGATCCCAGTCCTATCAGCACAAATCCCTCCGTTTAACCAAGCTATCACCAGGTCCTAGACAACTGGATTCCACTGATTTTAATCGTTATTTGTGGCTCAAATTTTTCTCTCCCTAGAAGAATGGACATTGTCTCTGGAGTTCTTTGTAATAGTAGTTCATTTCTTTGTGTCTTGGGGGCATCACCTCGACAGGTGAGTCTAACTTTCTGGGCTGTTTCCTCAGCTGTACCATGAGCAAGGTGGGGGGGGGCTTCCTGCTCCTTAGTGGTCTTTTGAGTGTAGACATGCTAGTAATTTCTGGTGAAAAATTAGCCAGGCACTGTCTGTACTCATTTCATTCCCTGGGCAAACAGCATATGCCACCTTGGCTTCCACATTGTTCACGATGTTAGTGGCAGTATGTTGTGGGGGACGAGAGTGTGGGTCACCTGCTTTTGCTCAGTGGCACTTCTACCTTAGATCCTAGGGAAATTGTGAGCAGGAAGGACTGGGATGAATGGGAAACGGGGAACTGAACAGCAAGCAGTTTCCCTTGCCTGTCTCTTCACCTTAGGTAAGGAGGCTCGGGAGCCAGAGCTCTGCGTTGTCATGGTGAGCACCGTGGTGATGCCTAGGCCCACGCGGGCAGGCGCAGCATCCATGTTGATCCAGAAGGAGACCCAGGACAGGATGACGATGAGGAGACTGGGGATGTACATCTGGATCAGATAGTAGCCCATCTGTCGTTCTAGGTGAAACTTTACCTCAATGCAGGTGAATTTCCCTGCAAGGAGAGAGGTGAGGTATCAGGCCCCAGGTTCCCAGTCTGCAGCTGAAACTGAGAGGAAGACTGAGGTAGAGTTATCTCTGCGGGCCAGCAGCTCTGGGTACCTTAGTCAGGCCAATAAATGAACCTTTCTAAATGGTCCCAAGGAACACCAGGCATAGGTATAGGGGAAGCCCCCAGAGCCACCATCAAGGACTTGGCCTCTTGTTCCAGTACTTCTTTTCCTATGACAGTAAAAGAATTAAGAGGAGGACTCCAGAACCAGACTGCTTGGGACTGAATCCTGAACCTTTCATTTAATAGCTGTGTGACCTCAGGCAAGGTGCCAAGTTTTTGAGCTTCAGATTCCTTGCCTGTAATACATCAGCTCCATTGTTGGTCTAAGGTAGGGACTAAATGGGAATCGAGATGTGAAACACAAAGGTAGCTGGTACTATTATCATTATTAATGAAGCAATGACTAAGACTCCACTTAAACCTTAGAAACCTTGCTTGGGGTGGCTGGTGCCCCAGCAGCTTCCTGATTCCAAGCATTCACTGAAATCAACACTGCCTGTGGCTTAAACAAGTGAGAACAGTCAGCGAGCAAACTTCTGGAAACAATGGGCCTAGAGATGAGCCCTGGAGGCGGCACCCTTCTCCTAGAGCAGCAGGCAGAGGAAGGGGCTGTTCCACCAACAAAAGTGTGTTGGCCCCAGGTACATGTACCAGTACTCTGCCTCCTGTGCCAGCCATCTTCACTTTACCCTGTTTTCCATGCCCCAAGGCTAAGAGAGCACTATCTTAAAGTTTATCCCAGCAGCAGGGGCTTCAGGATAACCAAAGCCAAAATGGAGGGATGCTTGCAGTGTTAGTTTATTCTGGCCCGGGCTTGCTCTTAGCAAGCCTTTCTGACTCCTTGAGGCTAGACATTTCATCAGTGATTTTTGGCTTTCTCATGCAGTGGGAAGCTGTGATCTCCTACTGCCGTGAGACCACCTCACCCACCTCACCCTACTCCAAACTTCTCGCCAAGACATGACTTTGATAGGTGTCACTATTTTCTTCCTTCCTTCCCTCCCTCCCTCTTTTCCTGCCTTCCTTCTACTCTCCCGTCTATACTTCCCCCCTCCCTCCTTCACTTTCCCCTTCACCCCTTCCTCCCTGCCTTCCCCCTTCTTTCCTTCCTTTTTTTTTTTTTTTGGTTGTTTTTGCAGTGGCTTCATATCAAATTTCAATATTAGCATTTGCTTAGTACAGGGAAAAAGTGAAAAATAGAGAACTGATAATATTCTTAAGCTCACATTTATCAAGCTCCTATTAAGTACCCCTATTTTATGTAGTTTGTCTCATTTAAATACCTCAGCAACTCTTTGGGGCAAGTAAATGATTCCTGTTTTACAACTAGGGATACTGAGGATCAAAGAGATTAAGTTATGTTTCTCAAGGGAACCCAACTAGTAAGTGGTAAGCCAGAAATCAAATTCAACCCTTACTCCAAAGTTCTTGCTCTCATCTATTGTATCACATTCTGTGTTGCTTTTCAGGATTTTTAAACATACACTTCTGGTTTGTTTCTTTTACCACAATATAACCATTCTGTATATATAACTTTGAATCTTAGCCTTTTCCACATGCATTTCTTCATGTTGATAGAAACACGTTTTACGGGTCCTTTTTAATGCCTGGGTAATATTCCACTAAGTAAGTGCACCATGTAATTTACTTAACTTCTGCTCTACTGGTGGATATTTAGAACCATTCCAAAGTTTTGCTAGTATAAATGGTGAGCCAGGAAGGTGCTTGGGGTCTAAAGTCAACATGACATTTTGAAATATTTCCTTATAATAAATTCAAGGAATAGGAGTACTAGATCAACAGATAGGGTCAAAATGTTATCTTCTAAAGTTTCTCAAAATATGCCTCTGGACTACCTATATCAGAGTCCACATGGTACTTATTCAAATGAAGATTTCTGGGGATCAACTCCAAGTACAAGCAATCAGAATTTCTGAACAGCAGAGACCCAGAATGAACAAAACAGCTTCCTCAATGGAATACAAACACACCAAAGTTTGACAACTGCTGACTTATATACAAATTGCTATTTTCTGCCCTCCAAAAGGTGATAACAATTTCCACACCCACAAGTATATTCTAAATTCAATGGCCCATTCCTCTTCCCATTCCCTACACCTCCACATATACAAATACACATATTCATAGGGTGGCACCAGAAGCACACCATCAGAAGGTCTCCCCTCTTCAGCCTGTAGCTTCTATCTCAGCGTCACAGCTCGTGGTGGCTATACCACCAGGGAACTGAAGGAACTAGTGGCTCTTAGGTAAGCCGTGGAGGGGTGCAGTAGGAGGGGGCAGGTGTTTAGGCTGGAAAAGTAGCCCCTCAGCACTTCCTGGCTCACTTTTCATATCTGGGAAAACAAACAGTTCCTGAGAATGGCTAGTGGTGCCAATCTGGCAGCCAGTGGGCACCCTGTGGCCTATTCCAGTTCAGTGCAGCCATTGCCTACTCTCAGATCTCGATTCCTTGCCTTCCACATGAAATTGCCCCTCCCCCCCAAAGGTAGGACATTCCTGCAACTCACAGGCACAGGTTCCTTTCTGCTGTGTAGTGTAATGGGGACAAAAGCATGCATGCTGGAGTTAGACTGGTGAATTGGAATTTTAAATCAGTCATTTACTAACTGTATGACTTGGAAAATTGATTTAACTTTTAGAACCTCGGTTTCCCTTTCTGAGAAATGGGCCTGCTCATCCTTACCACAGAAGATAAGGCATCTCAAGGCGGCCTTAGTTCCACTTCCGGCAGATTGTACCTTCAGTAAAGACTGACTTCCCTCCCTCCTGTCCAGAGAACCACCTGTGACTCACGCCCATTAATAAACCCTGGTTTATTATTATTATTATTACCTGTGTTGTAGTGCTTGGTACAATAGCCTAGATCCTTCTCATCCCGCAAGATAAACTGAGGCAGAGTCAGTCCCTCAGCCACCTGAACAGCAGGAGCATCTTCTAGCCACTCAAACACGAGGTCATTCATGGTGTAGCCAACTGAAAGTGACAGAGATGGCAGAGGGCTGCAGAGTGTGGGCGTTGGATGCAGCTAGGGAGAGGGTTGCAAGTGGGAGGGAAGAACAGGTAAAGGGGAAAGCCTGGGTTTTCGGTACGTCATGCTCATCTTAGAAGGGAAGCCTTTCTGAAGAGGGTACTTGGCCCACTGTCTACGGGTCCATTTTAAGTGGGCAAACCAGAGATTCCAGACGTTTCCCCTTCTAAGTCTCTAGCTTCAGAAAGGTTCAAAGAGAAATTATTCTGGCAGGCTGAGAAAACAGGTCAAAAGGGTTGGAAAGATGCCAAGGAACCCAGCTGGGAACCTCCTGCCACATCTCAAGTCCGGGGGAGCGAGCGCGTGTGCCTACCACATGTCTTCAGCTGAGCCAGCCTCAGGACTAGGCTTCTGCCACCTTACCCCAGGGTGGCGAGAGCTGTTTATACCTTGTCAGTCATGCATGCAATGATGTGTGCACCACAGAATCCTCATCAGGGCTCTGAACTGGGACACACTGAGAGCTAACATCTAAATATGCCCCACTGCTCACAGATGGCTGGCAGCGTGCGAGGCTCCTGCCACACACAAGACCATGTTGGGTAGAAATGGAGCAGAACATAGGTGCTCACAGACCGTGTAGGATTTTGACCCAGAGTAGCTGTGTGGCTTGGAGCAAGTCACTTCCCCTTCTGTAAAATGCTCCATATACTACTCAGAGTTGGGGAGGGGAGGAAGGGAATGTGGACCTGGCCTCTCCTGATCTCACTGTCTCACGTTACTCAGGAGACGGCAAAGGAATGGACACAGGTGGTGGCCCAGCCTTGTCCCCCTCTGGCTCCTCTGCACTTGGACAGCACCTTCAGGCTGCCCCTGCTTAGTGAAGCCCGTGCTCCATGTTGTCCTGGGGCACTATCTTCTACCTAGAACTGCCCTCTCCTTCCTCTCCACAAACATCATGCATGCTCATGTCACGTTATTATGCCAACTCTGCCATTTTTTACAGGCAGCTGCAGTATCTTAACTCGGGGGGAGTAGAGGTAGAATTATTTCAGGAACTGTGGGCAGAGGAGGTGCCTTTCAGATTGCCCCCCCTCCCCACAACCAGAGCAAGCACCTTCCCACCCGATGTCCCCTTTGGAATAATCAGCCAGCAAACAGCATGCGGATGAAACACAGAGGGTGGGATGTGAGCAAGACTGAGTGTGCAGGGGTGGTCCCTCTCCACTCTGGCTTGCAGCTTTCCAGTCTGCAGTATCACGGAATGAGGTTAACTAAGCGAGTGTTCTTATGCTCTACTCTACAACTCCCTCAGGACACTTACAGCTCTCCAGCTGCATCGTGCATGTCTGGATGTCCATGGGAAAGTTCTTGAGGTCCATTGGGCAGGACAAAATGAGGGTCAGCCTGGCAGGGACAGTAAGAGAGACATGACATTGGCTTAGGAGCCCAGCACCACACAGGGGACCCTCCTTCCACCCTTCAGCCTCTTTGTGGTTTCTTTGTGGCCATTCAAACATGCACCTGATACTATAGAGCACATTCCCATTCTTGAAGATGCGCAGTAACTTGTTGTCCGTGGTCACCTCATGGAAGTTGGCCCCTTTCTCATTGGCAAAGAACAGATCTGGCTTCCAGATAGAGTCCAACATGGAGGGGTCCAGGTCCAATGAATCATCGGGGTACTCTCGGTAGGCCAGGCGAGGGTCATTCCACTGCTGTCGCAAGAAGACATTCACCCGGTAGTCCTGGGAGGGTGCAAAGATGAGTTGTCAGAGGGAGCACCCAGCCAGGTACCCAGCAAGCCTCTAAGGGCAGAAGCAGCACAATGAGAACATGCTGGCAATATTTCTCAGAGGCGGTGGGCCTTTTTCAATGGAGAAGGAGCCTGCCTTGGCTCACATGGCAAAGATGGGAAGAGAAAAGATATTGATTAAGCACCTACGATGTGCCACACACACTCCGCTAAGTGCTTTATTTACATGCATCATCTCACGAAAATCTCACACCAACCCTGTGAAGTGAAGATCATACCCAGCGTGATCCCCATTTTACAGACAAACAAACTGGGACAGGGACAGACTTAAGTAACCAGTCTAGGATCCCCCAACTGCTAGATGGAAGAGTCAGGACTGCACCCAGGCTTGCCTGCTCCCAAAGCAGGTACTCTGCATCAAACTACTCCCTTAGCCATTAGTCCCGGTAGCCCTGGGCTGGGGAAACATATACTTCCAGTGACCAACCTCAGACTTTAGCCATGACCATGGCAATGGAAAAGGATAGCAGAGGGAGGAAAGATAGGCTAGCAAGTAGGTTTTTCCCACTCAAACTGTAGTAAGGCAGTGGGAAACAGGGAGATTCCTTACCATGGTCGTCTCAGTGACAGAGCCAAAGCTGTTGATGAAGATGTTGCAGGTCACGTTCACAGGCGGACCTAAGGGTAGCAAAGCACAGCCATATTGGCAGGGCATTCCAGAAAACCAGGAGTAGGTTCCAGGACTCTCTCCCTGAGATTGAAGCCAGGGCACTGCTGGGAGAAGGTGTGCCAGGTTCGTGGGCAACAGGGAGTTCGTGGGGAGAAGTTATGCAGGTTCATGGGCAACAGGGAGGGGAGGAGCCTTCTGAGCTGTGAGCTAACCCCCAAATTTCAGCCTCCTTTGCTAGTGGCCGACAGTGCCGGCCAACTTGGTAGTGTATCGCCAAAAGGGATGGGGGAGGAGGAAGAGTTTTTTCTGGTAAGGTAAATGCTTCTTACCTTTAAAATTGGGCCGAATCCTGGCATCATATCCAGATGTTCGCCCCATAAGCTTGTCCAAGAAATCAGAGGGGGACATGGGCTGGGAACCCTTGGTCCCAGATTTGACTTCCTCTTTGGCCAAGGCCACCCTAGACAGGCAAGGTAAAGAGGTCTGAGACCAGATGTCATCTGCATTTATCCCAGACCCAGACCCTTACCTTCCCTGACCCAACACATTGTCAAGCAAGATGGGAGAAGATAGGTTTTGGGTGCCTATTTGTGAAATGAGGAGGAAAAAAACCAGCTGTAAGCTAACGTGGCATTGAGCAGTTCACCCTAGAAAAGTGTTTCTTACTCTCACAAATGATGGGGCGAGGACTGTTATCCCCATTTTATGGATGAGAAAACTGAGGCTGCCAAAGGAGAAGTGATGTGCCCAGAGGCTCGAAGCTACCGAGTGGCAGGATCAGGCCTCCAACCCAAAACCGAGGCCTGTGGCCATGTGCTCTTTCTGAAGGTGCTTTGAAAGCAGTCAAAGCAGGGCCTCCCGCTCCATCTCGCCATCAGCACTCCCACAACTCAGTGGGAGCGATGTGGCTGCTGTATTTTACCTTCCTAGACCAGCCCAGGAAAGGAAAAGCTCCAGGATGGTAAGTATCCCTGAGAGGGGCTGTCAGTTGCGTGGCCTCTTGCTGAGGGCCTCAGGAGCTAGGGCCTAGGTAGAAGGCTGGGCTTCTGGCATTTGCTCCAACAGGAAACCAGGCTGTGAGCTGGATCTCAGTTCACGGCTGCGGCAGCTACAGTTATGGTGATAACAGGTGGGGAAGCTGGGTTCTGGGGGCATGAAAAAGCCTCTGGGACAGTGGCCAAGTGAAGAAGACCAATTGCCACCTCTACCCAATAACAGCTTGATTTTGAAGAGGGGCCCCCGTGTGACTTGACATAACCTGTAGGCCAGAGCCCCCCTGTCCCTGATAAGATCCCCTCCGAGAGCAGTAAAGCTCCTTCCTATGCCTGCACACCTGCTCCACAGCCTACAGACAGGTGAGGGAGCAGAAATCCTTGAGGGCAAGGGTGGGTGCGGGGGTTGGGCACAGGGCCCCCAGTTCATGCTAGATTCCTGCATGGCCTTGTGCCTCCCGCTCCATCTCACCATCAGCACTGTGCCAGGGGCTAGAGCTCAATGGTCTACTGCTGTAGCTGCTGCTGTATCCTGGGGCCAGGAGGCAGAGCAGCTGCTGTCTTTCTGGGTCCAGTGCTCTGCGGGCAGTGGGCCCCCTTTCCCCAGTGATCAATAGAATAATAAGTATAAAGCCAAAAACAATAGGTAAAGCACCGTGCTAGATGCTTACTCAGGTTTAGTTTTTACATCACTCCTCTCAGATATTGTTATTTTAGTCCCACTATATGGATGAGAAGACTGAGGATGAGCAAGATGAAGTGACTTGTTCAGACCCACACAGCTAGCAGACGCCAAAGCTAACTTTGAACCGGAACTATAGATGTCAAGATAGGTCCATCTATCACAGTACTATGAGTCAGGAAGCCTGGGGTGTCCTGCCGAGGAACCCGAGTGAGAGAAGATCAGTGGCAGCTTCACACTGACCTCTGAGAATCCTGCCTTGTTGAACACCCCCAGCAGGAGGAAGCTCTTAGGCCAGAGGCTGCTTGGGACCAGATCAGGTGGTCTAAGCAGGCACTGAAAATCCAAGGGAGCTGCTGTGACACTGGAGCAAGCAGAAGTGGGTGTCCATAGTGCTGCTGCTGGCCATGTGCCATCTGCCTGCTGGTGGGCTACGTGGCCCTGCCCACGCAACAGCCAGACCCCACCTCCATCCTCAGCCCCGTTCTGAGGCCATTGCCCCCCCCCCAACCCCCAGCCCCTGTCCCAGGGGCCTGGGGCAGCCTGTGAGCTCAGCTGTCTTGGGCCCCAAGCCCTGTTGTAGGACCCAAGAATGGGGCTGAAGCTTGGGTCTCTAGGCAGCTCCCCTCCGGGAAAGTCTGCTGGGTGCCCCCTTCGGCCTGTGCTGTCCTAGAAGCTCCTACCAAGCTGTCCTTGCATGGCTCCACCGCCCCATGCACCCCTGCCTGCCAGGGATGTCCTGAAGCTGCCATCCTGGTGTGCTGCTTGAATTAAGAGGCGGTGTCTGTTGGGGGGGGGGCCCTCACCCCCTCCACCTTGGGGATGTTCTTCTTAGGACTCGCTCAACCTAAGCCACAGCCATATTCCCTCCTTCGTTCACGCTGTCCAATTAGTCGGGCTCCTGGTCTCTAATGAGAAAGTGAGAATAAGTGGGGGAAAATTTATAGAGAGCCCAAAGCGGTGTCTTGCACCCAAACCCCGGAAACAGCTCCGCAGCACACCCCTCCAGGGACAGTGAGCGGCCATGTGTGCACCGGTGACCACAGGGGCCCGATTTGGTCAGCCCAGCTCCATTCTCATGTGGCTTCCTAGGCACCCCTCTGTTACTTGAAGCCCCTTGGGCTGCTGGATGTTGGTGTCATTGGTGGGGGAGATCCGAGCAGTATGTGGCCAAGCTAGTACTTGGCTGGAAGACAGAATACATGGCCTCCTCTCTCAGGCTCAGCTATCCAGTGCCTGCTTGGGCCAGCAGGCTGCCATCCACTCAGAAGCCTTCCCACTGGCTCCAGGGGTCCTTCTTGACATCCCTCATGAAAGACCCCAGGGTCCTGACTGGGGAGGATGTGTCCACCCCTGGAACCCTCTGGACTGTGGGCTTCTTGCAAACTTAGAAGAAAGTGTGCCAGCCACCCTTGCTGCCGGCCAGTGTGGCCTGCCCCTCCTTCCTGCCCCAACTCTGCTCACCTGAGGAGGACTTGACTTGGCAAGGTCCAGAGGAGGAGGAAGGAGAGGGTTGCAGGAAGGAGAGCTGTCATTCCGCGGGTACCCTGGTGCCTGTTCTCAGCCTGGCTGCCAAGGTGAGCCGGGATATCCGGGCAGGACACCCCAAGACCCCAGCCTACCTCCAACTTGGGCTGCCAGGAGCCCACTGGCTGGGGGTGGGAGCTGTGCTCTTCGGGTCTCTTCTCTGCCCTGTGATCCAGTCAGGGGCCAGAACTCTTTCCCTAGAATGATCCTGACACAGAGAGCCCAACAGACTCTTGCTCCCTGCTCGCCTGGGGATCCGGAGCTCGCCTGGGGATCCGGAGGGCCTCAGCCAGCCTGTGGGAGCTGGAGGAGATTCTCTTTGGGCAGCAATCACTCTCCAAACCCTGGAGAGTCCAGGAGGGGCGGGAGGAGGGAGTCTGGTAGGGAGATGTTTCACTCCCTCCCACCTCCCCCCAGATGCACCCTCCGAAAGCAGCAATTTAAAGGCACAGCCGCTGGCAGCTGGAAAGGGGTTCAGAGCAGTCTGTGCTGTGTGCCTGAGGAGCTTGGGCTGCTGCTGCCGTTGGGAGAGGGCTGAGGTACACAGTCCAGCTCCTAACTCTAACGGTAGGAGCACAAGCCAGCTGCCCGGCTGCCCCCTCCCCCCTTTTTAGCCTGGAGCCAAGACAGGCCCGAATTGTTAATTCCTAATGATGCTTTTAAGGGGGAAAAGACCTGAGAGGGTTTTGGTGGAGACGCTGAGTATTCTCCAGCTGACCGCGGCAGGTCTGAGCGGGCGGGAGGAGGCCAAGTGCAAAGGTGTTTCCCCCCTCCCCCTGCCCTCTGGGCTGAGGCAACACAGGGAGGGGTGCTACGGGGCAACTTCTCAGTCCTCTTGCGGGAGGTCTACCTGCCCCTCTGCTTCCTCCCCGTAGACGTGCCAGCTTCTCTCACTCTCGCGGCGCTGGTGAACTTGGGGCCTGCTGGAAGCCTGCTTTCCCAGCATCCCGCCCCCAGCCCCCAGCGCGGGAAGGGCTAGCTTTCATTAGCGGCGCAGGCCTGGCGCACAGCAGGTTTTGCAAACTTCAGAGCTGTCGAGGGGACCAGGATGGAGCTCTGGGTGGAGGAGAGGGCCGGGCAGAGGCAGCTGCTTCCTCCTTAGCTCTGCCGGTTGGCTGCCAGCATCCAGTTGCCTCACCAGCTTCACTTCCCCTGCTGCTCCCTTCCCCCAAACTTTCCCAGGTACCATTTAAACCCAAGTTCCTCTACCTCCCCCTTGCCCTCTCTTCGGTCTCCTTCCCTCAGTCTTTTATATTCATCACGTTTTCTTCCCTTTCCCTCCCCTCTCCTCTTTCTCCCATTCCATCTCACTCAGTTTCTTTCTGTGTCTCCTTCTGGATCTGTCTCCCCCACCTCTTTCCCATCCTTTCTCTCATCTCTCTCAACTTCTCATCTCTTTCAGCCTCCTCACTCTCTCCTCCCAAATGACAGCCCAGAGAAGCCAAGGGCTTCATTTCTTCTTCGTGGAAGCCGTCCTAGCAGCTCTGTTAAGTTCTGAGTGTGTCTTGGAGGGGGTGGATGTCCCAGAGCCTTGCAGTGCCCCAGCACAACCCCCAGAGAGGAGTTTGTGGGAACCACACACTTTTCTATGAGACCCAGTGGGGACTGGGGCTAACAGAAAGGAAACAATGGACATGGAGCACCTCCCTTCAGGCCATGTTATTATTGAACAGAGGAATTTAAAAAGCACCCAAAAAGGGAACGATCTCAAGGACTACACACTATTGATGGGAGAGCAGGACTTTTAGAATTGGGCTAGAAGTACCACAAGCCTCAAATAATGCTGATTTGACCAATGATATATAAAGATATTGGGACCTCCTTGGTGACACAGGGGTTAAAGCGCAGCATTATGAAGATTTCTGCAGTCACTGCAGTTGATCCCCCATCAGGTTGCTGACACACATTGCACAGCAGACCTCTCCTGTCCTGCCTGCTGCTCCCCTCAGCAGGGTATTTCAGTGGATCCCCCTGTTCTGCTCCCTACTCTGTCTCTGGTGAATCCTTTCACCACCATCATCCCCGGCCCCCGCCTCACACCCCAGTTCTTGTAGGCATAAATAAATAAAATGTTTTAAAAGAGAATATAAATACATAACACTAATTATCCTAAAGGTCTCCCACACTGCTTGCCCCTGCTCACCTTCCTTGTCTCCCATGAGCATCACAGTCCCCAGACCAAGGGCAGGCACCAAGCTTTACAGAGTATGTCTCAGCGCAGATCTGTAGCCTCGGGAGATCAGGGGGTGTGTGTTAGTCCCCTCTGTCTAACCAGGTCCCTGACAAACCTCATGGTGTCCCTGCCTTGGCCTCAGCTGTTCCCTGTTGCCCTACCTCAGGCGGAGGTTACAGGCACCCACACCCCACAGACATATTCAGAATCACCTGTCTTGCCAGGTTCCAGGTAGTCTCACATGTTCCTCCTACCAAACCACTCCTCTGCACCCCCCACCCCAAGTACTTCTCCTCCTGAACTAAGTTCTTTTATCACTTTCTCAAGGAAGACTTCTTAATGTGCACCACCCCGGCCCATCTCAGGTCAGTGTTAAGACCCTTCAATGTGTTCTCATAGGACCCTCCCCTGCCCTCTCCACAGCCGTAGTCACCCTCCTTCCAGCTGCCTCTCTGCCCAATTGTACTGCTAACTGCCTCAGGGCAGAGCTACAGCCTGGCGCTCCATAGGCAATTAGTGCTCATTCTTTCAAAAAGATGTGTTGGGCACCCAGAGCGCTTTCCTAAGCCCAGAGTCTCTGCATTTTTCTGCCTCTGTCAAACAAGAATGATACATCTGGCCTGCAGACAGAGGGCTAGCATGTAATATGGAGATAGTAGGAGATGGGAATACCGACAAACGAAGAACCAGTTTTCATTGCCTTGCCCCTTGCAGTCCCATGACCTCACACTGAGTCTTTGGCCTTCTGGACTAGTGGAAGTCATTGGCTCCTGGGGACTGGCCATATCCTGGACTCAGTCCTATATGCTTGGGACCCCTGAATGTTGAGAACATCACAGGAAGAGCTTGCTGGAGGGATAGATTCTTTTAAGAAGTTGTAGCAATGTGCAAATATCTAGCTGGCATGGTGAGGGGGTATGGCTTCCCTAGAGTGCTGGAAGCACACTCTGAGAGAAGAAGGGAGGGAAGAGGGGCAAAGAACTGGGTAAGCCACTCCTAGGAATTGGCCTGGCAGGGGAGATGTTCATGGGAGAGTTCCTTGCCAACAGGAAGTCACACTCTAAAGATGACCTCAGCGTTTTCTGGACTCAGTTGTGTCCAGAATTGCCCCATAACCTTGTTTGAGCCTTTTCCCTCATTGGCAGCTGACTGCCACATAGTCCAGGGGACCAGCTGTGTTGTGGCACCAAGGTTGTGGAGAAACATTAGGTAAAAAGTCTGTCAGGGTGAAAGAAATTATTTTGTTGTGAAAAGACTACTGAGATTGTAAAAATGGATTAAGCACATTTTCATCAGTGTTTCATTCCAGGAAAGAGTTGTCACATTGCAGCCTTGTGCAAGGAAAAGCATCACTGCAATCCGCCTCACAGACAGGACTCTTAAAGCCTCAGCCTGAGCGACGACAGGGTGCCTGTATGGCAATGGACATGCATTTGTGAATTTAGTGACTTCTAAAGCTGGATTTTGGGGGTGAATTTGAAGAAACCTTCTGGTCTGGAGCCCCCAGTATGGCCTACCACACATATTGAAGCAGAAATCAGTCTGAGAGGTGAACGGAACAGTAACCTGTGTCTACAATCTGAGGAAATTCTCAGAGCATTAGCTACTTTCTGAAGCATTGGGTAAGAAGTTGGAGGGGACATTTGAAATAAAAGACAGGTGCCCTTTTTAAAAATCTGCTGACAAGAAGCAGAGCATTTCAGTTGGATCTCCAAGGAGCAAGGCAGCCTCTTTTGCTGTGTATGAGTTTTTCTTTGCAGGGTCATTTTCAGCCTCCAAGGATATGACAGTTTATTCAAAACTTGGGGCTCCACTTCTAAGGGAGCACTACCAAGTGCCTCACCTGGTATGTGTGCTGGTAACCAGTGGTGGTTAGTCCCATGGGCCTTAACCAGATGAAGGAAGGAAGAAGAGCGAAATGTACTCAGTGCTTTCCTAAGACTTCTGGAGAGTGACTGGCTTAAGGCTGATGTTTCAATGACCAGACATCCTTCTTTTTATGGACTATTTCAGGTGCAGGTTTTACTAATAAAGTTGGGGGTATCTGAGTTTGGAGGCCAGTGGAGGGATTAGCAAGTTCTTCTCTCCGAGTCCTCAGAGGCTAACCTAGCATCAGCACTAGGAGAACACTAGTGATCAAGGCTCCTTCCCGTGTTACTGGGGTCTCTGTTTAGTGTCCAGCGGACAACAGAGAGGTGGGGCTGTGACCAGAAAAGGTGGGTTGAATTGCACCCAGGTATACACCATGGCTCCTCTCTGGATTCTCAGAATATCATACTTCCCATCAGCTACTCGAAAGCAGTTCACTAGGTGTGCAAGAGTTTGATGCAAGTTTCCAGTTTGCATGCACTCACCTTGTCTCGTGGCTCTTCCAACTTGGAAGTGTTCCTTTTCAGGGATGATAAGACCATGTCACAGGTCTCCACTAAAATGGTTTTGCTTGTGACTGTGCTCATGAACATCTCCCACTCATTTGGAGGTTTCTATCATCCATGCTAGGGAAGCTGTGAAGCTCTTACAAACAGGAGTAAAGGGACTTAGAAACATGAATAAACATTTTACTGCGTGGCATGGATCATAATTTTGCCAATGCATGCATTCAATAAAATGGTTGTCTTCAAAATTTTCTTCATCTGTCATTTGTCTACAAAAATATATGTTTGGGAGTGTAACTTCATATTCAACAAAATTTACTGGATGCAAATCATACACCAGATATTCTAGGCACTTGAGATACAATGGTGAACAAAGCAAATAAAGTTCATACCCTCATGTAGCTTACAGTCTAGTATGCTGGGACAGTAATTCCTTCCCAAAGAAGGTTCTATATGGGCCATCACATTACCGCGGGACCCACGTGCTGCTCACAGCATTTGAGTGGGTATTTATTCTATGGCTTAGAAAGAGACTCATTTTCAGCAGGCAGGAATGAGTTTTATTTCCATTCATCCCTGAATTTGTCTGCTAGTCACATCACATAGGACACCATTTGTTAGACACCCTCCCAAGAAGCTTAGACCTTAAAGAGAATAACGTGTCTGACTCCTGTGAGTATCCCTCTGTCTTGCATACACATTTGTCTGTGAAGGCTAATCAGTAGGTTTCTAATTAACAGAGTTAGGGGGATTAACAGCTCTCTCAGGCTCTTCCTGTGATGTATTCTAAGTAGTCTCCAATTATTTAGCATTTCTCTCTCTATCCTGCCCTTCTGTTCTCCCTTCCTCCCTCTTTACCTCTCTTTCAGTTTCTCAATCTGTCGGCCTATTGCAATAGGACA